TATCTATTTTGTAACTGATCCTAATATATTCGATGATTTCTGGATAGGTGAATGTGAGTGTAACTGTAATCTCAGATTTACCCTTTAATTAGAAATAATTTAAATATGAAGAAGAATATTTTGTCTTGGTACTAAAATTAAATTTCAAATACTATAAATCATAATACATGTAAGTTATAGGTAAATATAGTCCATCGGAATAGTTTGAAAGTGTAAATGTGTCTTCTGTTAACATCATCCACATCCACACCGTCATCTAGTTACAGCTCCAATCTATAGACTGTCAAATGAATGAATGAAAAATAATAAAATACATTGTTTTTCTCTCTCATGGAACTTTGCATTTCCGTCAAAAAGTGTTAATATTCAATGTTGTTTTTATAGAAATAATCCTATTAATTGTTGTTTTTGAAATATATAATTTACTTTCACATGTTATTTCGTAAAGTTCAACATTTACAATACATAAAATTTTGTATTCAAAACTAATCTGAACAAAGAAAATGATCTTCTGTTTCCATCGACTCCTGATAACTTGTCATAAATATTTTACATAAAAACACTCGTATACAATAAGCATCATAATCATTGACTGATTTTTATTATCTTTATTTTAAATCAAACAAATATATGAAAATAAAGTGAAAAATATCACTGGAGAATCCTTTTTTGAGTACTGCAGAGTTTCTAAAATTTGTTCATTATTCTGTTGATATCTGTAGAATAGAACATATTCTTCTGCATCTTTTTATTTGTTATTATTCACAAAGCATTACTTGTTATTGATATTTGTCTTCTATTGAATGAAATAAAAACAAGTTGTTTCTTTTTTTGTTCTCTATTCGCCTACATAATGATGTCAATGAGAACTTTCTTTTTTATTGAAATTTATGCAGCAAATGCACCATTTGAAATTATCAGTAAATAAAAACAATGAATCCATTTCCTTTTTCAAAACTGATATGAAATGCCAGACATTATTTGCTGTGAATATACAAAAATATTCATGATATTGAAATGTTTGTAGGAAGGATGTGAAAACAAAGTGTTTCAAACAAACTTAAATGTTATTCTTGTTAAGAATACATCGCAAATCATGCCTTAACGAAGGAAATACAATGCCTCCTGAACAATAAAACAGAACTTTTTTGACAACAAAATGTTTTAGTTACTTTGCATTCAGCTTAAAGAGAAAATAAATCGACTTTTTTTCTTATCAGAAATGCATTAGGCAATTGATTTTATTTTTATTTCATAGATTAGATAAAAAATAAAAAAGTGCAGTTGTTTATCTTCAGAATGAATTTTCATCAAATATTATTCGACAAGATGAATATATAAACAAAAGAATTAGAATTGCACAGAATAATGTCACATTTAACAAAATCAACTAAACTTATCATTTTATTATCCTTTGAAATTATTCATTATGATGAATAATTATGATCATATTAACATAATTATAAATAAAAATAGTATATATTTTCTCTGCCGTTCGGTAAGAATTCAATCGATAAAATCAATATATTTTATTATGATGAAGAATTAAACTATTGAAGAAGAGTTGATTTGTGTTATCGAATTCAAATAAATAGTTATAAACATTTATTTTTCTAAACAAAACTTTATCAAATAATAATCCAAGAAAATTCTGTAAAATCTAAAAGTAAATTGAATTTTATACAAATTTATTCTTTCTCTTGATTATCAGGGGGTGTGTGAGTTCTTATTAGATCAGCAAGGGACGATCAAATCCACACCAACACCCTTTTTATTAAATGTTTATCAACTTCAACTAATTGGAACCTGATTATAAATATTTTTTTCATTATTCATAAAAATATTTTAAATCATTTAATTACTCTAATCAGACATTTTTCTTGAGAAATGCTACTGTTGAAATGTCAATATAGATCAAAGAGTAATAAAACTAATACTCACATCCACAAATTGATTTTATTTCATCAAATGTCAATGGAAAAACGAATATTTTGTCACAAAAAAACTTCATTGATTTGAAAGTTATCAATAATTTGGATTTTATTTGATGAAAAAGAAGAAAATTGAATTTGAATCATTTTTCATTTGAAATTGAAATGAATTCAATTTGTCTTTGAAAAATAAAATAAATCTCTTTGATAACAAAAATCAAATTTAAATTTTGGATTATTTCATCACTTTCAGTATTAATGTTTTATTTTATTTCGATCTCATGTTCATTTTTCTTCCGTAATTCTTGTTTCTGCTTTTCATCTAAATGAAAATGTTCATTGATTTATTTTGAAATTTATTTTATTGATTTCATTTTCTCAAATAAATTTTTAATTCAATTTTGATTACCAAACTTTTGTAAAACATTTCTTGTCTCTTCAACATTAGACAATTTGGTTATTTCCATCAAATAAAAATATACAAATAGAATTTTCTATAGCATAAAAACTTCTTTTCAAAGAATTTCTATTTCAACTCAATTCAAATTGCAAAATATTTTCTTCTCTTTTCTAAAAAATTCAACAAAAGATGAAGAATTTAACATCTATTTATTCGAATTTTTTAATGAAAATTACAAATTAAATTCGAAGTTCATGAAAGAAAGAAAAAAGATTTTCCTTCGTTATTTTCTCATCAAAAATTCATTAGATTTTTTTCATTGATTCTCAACAACAAAACTTTATTTTTTCTTTTTTTCAAAATCAAAACTTCGTTCACAAAATTATTTCAAATTTTTGAATTCGATTAGCTCCGCCATCAACAACATAAAGATTTCCTTCATCATCGAAAGATAAACCAGTGGGATTATTCAAGTGATTTGGTGGACGTCCTGGACCATTTCCACCAACAACAATTTCACCTTCTTCTTTTCCTTCACGCCAACGCATTATTCGATGATTCCCACTATCTGCCACATAGATGTGACCTAAATCATCAACAATTACTCCTCGAGGATCAGACAATTGATTGAGATTTCCTCCTTGACCATTTCTTCCAGCCACAACAATTCCTTCTTGTGCACCTGTTCTCCATTTCATCACACGATGATTGGCGTTGTCTGTTACATAAACAGATTGATCTTCATCAACAAAGATAAAAGTAGGATTTCTGAGTAGACTGAGTTGATTTCCTACACCATTCCCACCTGCCACTACTGTTCCTTCGTTGTTATATTCTCCCATTTTCCATCGTCTCACCGCCTGCTTTTCCTTATCAGAAACATATAGGAATCCATATTTATCGATTGCCAAGCCATAACAGGCAATATTGTGAATGAGAATTTGTTGATTTTGATTAAACCATTGAATCACTCGTCCGTTAAACATATCAGCAATGATGATGAAATGGTTTTGTTCATCAACAATCACATCTGTTGGTCGATTCAACTGATCCATTCGATTTCCATTGCCATTTCCACCTGCAACGATTTGTCCTTCCTTTATATTCTGTTTCCATTCAACAATGCGATGATTCATAGTATCAGCAAAGAAAATATTTTTGTTTTTATCAATATAGATTCCTTCAGGAAAACTGGGTTCATATAATTCTGGTTTTTCTGTAATCCAACCAACCACAGTGATACCATCTTGTTTCCATTTGTTGAATTTCGGTTCTAGACAAGAATGAAAACAAAAGTTTATGATGGAAAGAAGAAAAAAATTGCTTTTTGTCGACGAAAAAAAAGAAAAGATTAGTTTTCAATGAAACTTTGTGTTTGTTTTTTTATTGAACTTGAATTGTAAATGAAATCAATGGCGGAGCCGGTGGGGAGAACGCTCAGCCCCCTCCCCTAGGAAGATGTTGAAAAATATGTTTTTCTGATACAAAATCTTATTATTCTTTGTAATAGAATACTGTATGAGATATACCTTATTGTGTGGAAAGCATAAGTACTTTTTAAACAAATAAAAACACATTTAATATTAGCTTCAGGTAGATTCTAGAGATTTCTCAGTTTCATATTTCACTCATTCGATAACGTAAGGTACAAACAATACAAAACTAAAGCAAAAGTTTTTTTCACACATGGTTAGATAGAGTTCGTCGAGCTGAGTAAAAATATATCAGTTTTTATATTTTTTTCAAAAGATTTTTGTTGATAAATTTCGATTTTTTTTCAAAGTGCTGAAAGACTCATTTTCTTAAAAAAATATTAGAAAAACTCATCTTTTAATGTTTTTTTCACTCTTGAATCCCTTCATTTTACTAGCATATTTTCAGTAAGGAATATCAAAAAAAAAGTCAGATCGATGCAGTTTTTCACGATAAATCTAAATATTTTATTTTCATAGGCCGAAGAAATGTAAAAGCTCTCTAAAATTGGAAGAAAACATTAAAAGATGAGTTTTTTTAATATTTTTTTTCAAGAAAATGAGTCTTTCAGCACTTTGGAAAAAATATAAAAACCAACCAATTCTTACCCAACTCGACGAGCTCTATCCAACCTAGTGTGAAAACGTGAAAAAGAAAATCTGCGCTGGTTGCATAAAAAAATTATCCTTCCTAAGATGGACTAAAACGGTTCTGGCGGCTGAGCCCTCCCTCCCCTCTCCTAGCTCAAAACCCTGGCTTCGCCACTGGAATGAATGTGACTGTGCATTAGAGAATACAATGCTAAAATCATTCTCATGAAAAAACCGATGTTTATGAAAGATGTGCTTCTCGAGTATTCAGTTAATATTTTATCCAACTACAATTTCTTTTGAACACGTCAATTCTATATAAATGCTACCTAAAACATGAGATTAGATGTTCATGTCAACTGACACTTCTACGTGTATAATCATACCGATAAATCAAATTAAATCTGATCATATCATGAATAAATATAGATTAAAATCTACTGTTTCAGCTATAGAAGAGGATTTCTCTTGGATTCACTTCTGCTCTCAAATAAGCAACTATGATCAGCTAGAAATGTTTAGTATGCGCGTTTGCCTAAATTATAATGTGAGTAATTGATAGAGATGGCACTTGTAATAGACTCGTGCTGACAGTGTACTACGAGAAATAGTGATAGCTACAAATAGCACTGGACACAATTCTTCAAAAATGACTCAATAAATATTACATTTCTTATATGATCTAGTTGATGCACGATAGTACTCATGGATATTTCCAATTATCTTCTATGCTATATTTACAAGCGATGACGTTATCTGACTTTATTTAGTCATAGTATCTATCATTATCAACCTTTTCCAATGTAATGAGGAGTTTCTAAAGTGATCACTGAGTTCTATCATGTGAGAAACTTTTTATCGACAACATATTTGCATGATACCGTTGAAATCGATTGACATCTCCAATATTTGACTAGTTGTAAATGAAATTAATTCATCAAGTTTTGATCCTATTTCTAGCCCTCATACAACGTTCTCTGATGTTCTATATCTAGATGAAGAACACTGGACAGCCAAAATCAAAATTTTTAGCTTTGGTCATTTGCAATACTCATCGTATAGGGTATGACAAATTATCCAGCATATTACTAACCTGACGTTGTTGATGTTGTCGTTGAAGTTGATGTGGTAGATGATTCTAGATTACAAAAATGAGTTTAGAAAGAGACTAAATGATTGGATAAGACTTTATTCTTAATATCTTTCGTTGTCCTCTTCTTCTTCTTCCTCTCTTACAATCTATCGACCGTAACTATGAGTGCATTATAATAACATAGGACATCGTTAGATGCCTTACATTATAATTGCAATTCTATGATCTTTACTTTCACCCTAGTCGTACCATGGAGGTCATTTCTGTCCGTTCTGTTGAGGGAATATACAGTGATAAAAAAAGGCTTGATAGTACCAGGGTTAATTACATCTCGACTATAATAGTTTTGACAACTCATTTTATATTTTTTATAAGTTTAATAATGAAACATTTGCAGAATTGTAGTAATTAACTCATATAACATTTGTATACTCCTACTGTTCTTGGAATATTTCATTTTCATTCAAGACGACATTCTGACCAGGAACTTGTCCTGATTCAACGGTCAAAGCTTATATAGCTTATGTTTAGCTATCAGAAAACGGAATCAATTCACGTCGGTCTAGTTCATCGCTTGCTTTTCAAAACTACTGATTATTGTAGCGTAGCTAGTTATACTGTTAAAAGATTCTTTGTGGTACAGAGAAAAACTTCAGGATGACCCCATTGGATCCTAATCAGATCTGCCAGAATAGGTTCATTTCTTTTTCAAACTGTTTTTAATCATCACCTCCATAAAAACAAATTCTGTATATTTTCTTATTTATTGTCTAAGATCTTGGACAATGCGCTGTGAATTTCTATACAATATCGATCAAATTCTTTTTGAAACACGCTAATGTCAATTTTATTTCACCGAATAATTCTTTGCATTTGAGGGTGTGAGTGTGAGTGTGGGTGTGGGTATCTCTTCTCTTAACTTACACCCACATCCTTTTTTTTACTTTCATTATATTTTATTTCAAAAAATAAACCTTTTATG